CCTGCTGGTATTTAAAATACCTGTGGCATAGCTTTCAGAATCACAGCAACTCATAAGCCACCACAGTACAACAAACTGACAGATGAGTGATGGCAGAACTGACTAAATGGCACCAAACAACGACAACCCTTTAGTTGGAGTTCTATGGCTCTGTAGGATAAACACTGGACTGCAACCACAAGGTTAGCAGTTTAAGCCTACCAGCTGCTCAATGGGACAAAGCTAAGGCTTGCTACTCCTGCAAAGAAACCATATACAGGGGTCTGGTAAACCCTACACAGGGTCGTTGCTATGAGTCAGAACCATCCCACTGCACCACCACCCACCTCTCCCACCTCCAGTAACCACCAAAGAATGTTTCTTTTAGTGTGGGAACTTTTTCTTGACGTTTTATAATAGTGGCCTCACACAATATTTTTCCTTTTGTGATTGATTTATTTCACTCAGCATAGTGTCCTTCAAATTAATTCATGTTATGAGGTGTTTCACAGATTTGCTGCTATTCTTTAAGGTTGGGTAGTATATACCATTATGTGTATGTACCATAATTTGTTTATCCACTTTTCCATTGTTGGACATTTAGGGCGTTTAGCTTTTGCTATTGTGAATAGTGAGTGCTGCAATGGACATGTGTGTTTGTGTGTCTATTTGTGTCATGAGTCTTATTTCTTTTGGCTCTAGTAGCATAGTGGTTACGAGTAAGGCTGCCAACCTCAAGGTTAGTAGTTCAAAACTACCAGCGTTTCCGTGGGAGAAAGATGAGGCATTCTTCTCCTGTAAAGATGTATAGCCTCGGAAACCCTGTGCAGGGTCACTATGAGTCGGAACCGACTCTGTGGTACTTGACAACAACAACAACAACATAAAGAAGAGGCTTTGTATTCCCACAGAGATTTAAAGCCTCAGAAACCGTATACAGGGTCCCTATGAGTTGGAACTGACTTGACGGCACTTAACAACAATATACCAAGTAGTGGAATTGCTGGGAACCTGATTACTTTTAATCCACTAGAAAGAGATCTTAAAGGTCATTGCCTTATAATATGCCACCCAGTTAAATTAACAAACAAAGATAGCATTTTTATTAATACTTTCCCCATTATAATCATTTATACTTTTATTATTGTTGTTGTTGTTAAGCGCCATTGAGTCACTTCCAACTTGTAGTGACTTTGGATAGGGTTTCTGAGACTGTAAATCTTTTCAGGAGTAAAAAGCCTCATCTTTCTCCTGTGGAGCAGCTGGTAGGCTTGAACCACTGACCTTGTGGTTAGCAGTCCAATGCTTATCCTACAGAGCCACAGTGCTCCCCTTCTATTACATTAAAAACTATACAATCAAACTTGGTTTTAAAATGTTAACAAAATAGCAGTTTGTAGATATTAGATATTTTGAAATATATTGGGTATAGTCACTATACTTTGTATTCTATGTATTTATATATAAAATCACAAGTAGTTTTTCTCTCTTTCCTTCAGCATTGGTGATGTGGGACTCAAGCAATTCCTTGAAGGTCCTGTGAGCACAAGGATAAGAGAACTTAATCTAAGTAACTGTATCAACTTGGGTGATGCTTCCATTATAAAACTATCAGAGCGGTATGACAGGCACTATTTTACATCATACCATTAAGAATTGCTTATTTGTTAATAGGAAAGAACAGACTGACATCATTTGGAAAACATCAGGGTGCCCAGATGTTAGTCCAATACTCAGTGAAGCCAGATAGAAGACATAGACGTCACAGAGTGACCTAATCTTTTGATTATATTTGTTATGTACATTGCACACTTTTCAAGGATGTGGTCTCTATGTAAACCTCTGTTTCCCAAAGGATGTTATGGCTTATGGGTTTATTTTACACTCTCCATACTTGTCAGAGGTCTATGTACGTTTGCTAAAGCCAAGCCCGATTTCTATAGCAACCTTGTAAGGCTTAAGTGAGAAACTTACCCTTCTATTTAGTGGCCATTTATCATGGTATTAACTTGATACTTTTTGTGTATGCGTATATTTTTTCTTTTTAGAAATTGTAATTGCAATATGAAACTAAATCCTAGAAAGAAACACCTGTATATAAAATAACCCTCTTCCCTTTCATCCAATTTGGTAATTCCAAATAGTTTTCTACTTTTATGTGAAGGAAAATCCTTGCTTAGGTATCATTTGCTTTCCTCCCAGTTTTTATACAAGAAAGTGCTACTGAGAATGTGATTGAAAGCTACAGTTAATTCATCATGTCACTTTCTTTCAGGTGCCCTAACTTGAACTACTTGAATTTAAGAAACTGTGAACAGTTGACTGATATGGGAATTGGGTATATTGTGAGCATCTTTTCGTTGATCTCTGTAGATCTCTCTGGAACAGTCATCTCTAATCAGGTAAAAACCATTAACAAACTGTACAGATCCATTTAGTGACTTTCATTGTTTTCTGCTATATCACCCTTTGGTATTTTGAAACAATGGAGAGAAATATTTTTTATTTCTTAAATTATGTTGTTGTTGTTGAGAAGTGCTGTTTTGATTATTGTTTCTGAAGAGTGATGTTGTTGTCAGGTGCCATCGAGCCGGAACCGACTCATAGCGACCCCGTGTACAGCAGAACGAAACAATGTCCGATCCTGGGCCAACCTCATTACCACACCACACTTGATGCCATCAATGATGCCACCTGGCTGATCCATCTTGTTGGGGGTCTTCCTCTTTTTCTCTGACCCTCCATCTAACCCAGCATGACATCTTTCTCCCGCGACTGTTCCCTCCTGACAATATGTGCAAAGTATGAGAGACGAAGTTTAGCCATCTTGGCCTCCAAGGAGCACTCTGGTTGCACGTCTTCCAAAACAGATCTATTGGTTCTTTTGGCAGTCCATGGCACTTTCAGTATTCTCCTCCAACACCGCAACTCAAAGTCATCAATTCTTCTACGATCTTCCTTATTCACCGTCCAGCTTTTGCATCCATATGAGGTTATTGAAAATACCATGGCTTGGGTCAGGCGCACCTTAGTCCTCAAGGTGGCATCTTTGCTAAGAGTGATAGATGAAGTCATTTGTAAATCAGTGGTCTGTTTCTCTGTTTAAAAAGTAGCTGCCTTGAAATAATAAATGTAAAGACTGATTTTAAATATTATCAGAAATGAATACACATTATTAATAATATAATTGTAAAACACATTTTCCTTTATTTTTTTATGACCAGTATATAAAAATAATTGCTTCATTACTACACTAGTATTGCAGTCACACATTCAATAAATCTGTAAGTGCTTATGAAAAATTGTAGCTGTCTTAGTTATCTACTGTTGCTATAACAGCACTCCTGCAGTTCTACTATCCGGAAGGACAGTAAACCCTGGGAGGCCTGCGATGGTTCTGAAAGATTTTAATGGTAACTGTTGTCATGGTGAGTTGGTTCTGATTCATATCAACCCTGTGTAAGGTTTCCAAGATGCATTTTGTGGGTGTGAACCACTAAACTTGTCGTTAACAGTCCAGTGCTTATCCTACAGCACCACACCAGCACTCTTGGTGGAGCAAATGGTT